AAATTAATACATATTAACTCCTTATAATTATATAGTTTTTATAAATATTAAATAAATTATAAAATATTGTGATTATATCATATTCATAAAAATTAGTAAAATTTTTATTTTCAAAGATAATAAACATAATACATTAAAATTATTTACATTTAAATAAAGTTCGAAAGATTCAAACCTGTCACCATTGTTCCACGTACCAAAACAAATTAATTTATAAAAACAGTGTTTTTCAGCTGTGGGTTAAAACATCTTACCGATTTCAAAATTAGGTGTAGCGTTCTATCAAAAAGGTTCACTAATCAATTTTAAATCTGAAATTAGGAAGGAATACTTATCCTACTTTTGTAGGTTTAAAGTGATATTTTCAGAATAAAGAGATGCAAAGTGCCTAACACGACGCGACATCAATATGGAGGGGGGAGACCATTTTCTGATATCATCATTGCAGTGAAGAGAATGGCATTTTTTTTAAAGTACATTTTGATTTAGAAACATCAATTTAAGATGAAATAAAGGATTAATCTCTTAAATGATTTAATAATTATTTTTTTATTAAAATAAAAGATTTTAAATTTAAATTACATATTATTATATGTAGATGAAGTAAGATAAAAAATATGAGATGATTGTCTCTCATTATGTAATTAAGATAAAATATATAAATAAATTATATTCAAAAAATTATTTATATATATATATATATATTTTTTTTGAACATATTTGCAAGGGGCGGGATTCGAACCCAGCCCAGGGAGAGGGGAATGCATCGGGGTGGCTGTTGCCACTAAGCCTCGAGGGTCAGGTGCGTATTTTTATATTTTTAAAAGCAATACAGATTGTATAACGAATCTACCAATAAAGCTTGAGTTTTTGGATGGTATTAAGATTTAAGAGTACATGAGCTTATGTATTTAGCCCTTATTTTAAAAAATGAAAATTTCCACTTGCATCTTTTATAGAGCTTGTTTGGTTAAAAATTAATTTTATTATAAAAGAATATTGTATGAAGAATTAATATATTTTGTAATAAAATTTTGATAAAATTTTGTTAAATTATTAATTTTTTTGTATTTGATAAAAAAATAACAAAAAATTAATAAAAAATTTTCAAATAAATTTTTAATAAAAAAGTTAAGAAAATTTTTTCTCAAGAAATAAATTATTAATTTTTTGTATTTGATAAAAAAAAATAACAAAAAATTAATAAAAAATTTTCAAATAAATTTTTAATAAAAAAGTTAAGAAAATTTTTTCTCAAGAAAAAAATTACTAATTATATAAAAATAAAAATTAAAAATATCAATTTTATTCCTCTCTTATTATAATATAAAAATATAAAAATAATAAATAACCTACAATCAAACAGGGCCACAGAACTTTACTTGATCTCGGTGCAAAAGTCAATTTATTCCCTTATAGTTTTGGTCTAACCATGATTAACAAGAATAAAACAATATACATACACACTAACTTTAAACTAGTGTTGTTCAAACATACTCTATCATTCATATTAAATTGCTCAAAAGTGAGCCCATGAAATTTGACACAAAATTGACTCCATATCCCAGTTATTTTGACGAGAGTTTTCTTTACAGACAATGTTAGCTAGTGCTAACTCAGCTTGACTCTCAATTCAAGTAGCATCAGTCTTCAAAACCAAGAAAAGAGTTGCTTAGTCGCACTAAAAAAAAAAAAAAAAGGTTGCTTAGATCCTCATATATTCTGTATTAATTTTTTACTAACTTTTTAGTATTTAAGAAGTATCTTAAATCTCAATTATTTTAAAATTAGGTTAAATCAGTTATAAAAGAAAAAACTTTTATAGTATTTAATTTTTTATTTATAAGATTTAAACTTAAA